AGCCCCCCCCCGCCCCGCCCGGGGCCGCAGCTGCCTGCAAGCCTTGAGCAGACACACACAGATACTTATAAACACCCAGACACAAACACACGGAAGCGACACTCACAGACACGCTCACAGAGATACACACAGACATGTGCGTACGTATAAACACCCCGACAGACCCACAGAGCCAACACGGAGATGGGCACGGGCCGTTCCCCACGAGACACAGAGGCGCACACGAGGACCTCCCCCGCCAAACATGAAGACACCTGGACAACACACACAGATACACGCCTCCCACCGTAGACAGACAGACATACACAAACAGCCACACGCGTGCGCGCGCGCGCGCACACACACACACACACACACACACACACACACGGGAATTCGGTGCACAGATGGGAAATTTAACTCAAGAGGTGCCCTTAGGTGATCACAGCCCTTCTGCTCCTGACACAACACGCTCCGGTCCAGCCTTCGGGTCCTGTTCAGTGTATTGACTTGCCGAGGGGCATCAGGGTTGCTGTGCCTATGGGTGCGTGTGCATTTGAGGGTGAGTGGTGTGTGTTGAGCAGTGGCTTCGGTCCTCTCCTCCCCCTCCCTCTCTCCAACAGGTGATTGGGAGGAAGGGAGGGCCCTCCCTCTTCCCCACCCATTCCTGAGCCCGAACAATGCCCTCCCCAGGCCCCAAAATAGCCCCTGAGCTTAGCCAATGTCCTTTTATGGCCCTGTCCCTATTGTGCACTGTGGGGGTGGGGGGGACTGGGGTCAGGAGGTGTCCGGACAGGATAAAGGCCAGGCCTGGGAGCCTCACCTACCCTGCTCTCTGCTTGCCATCTCTCCACATCCCTCTCTGTGCTTACAGCTCCCATGGCCCCCAAAAAGCCAGACCCCAAGAAGGACGATGCCAAAGCAGCCAAGGCGGCTCCCGCGCCAGCGCCCGCACCTGCACCCGAGCCCGAGCGCCCCAAGGAAGTGGAGTTTGATGCCTCCAAGATCAAGGTGGGTGTGGGAGCTGGGTTTCAGCAGGAAGGACGGGGCAAGTCAGTGGATCCCAGAGCGGACCTACTCAGTGGCAGGCCAGACTCTAGAAAGTGAGCACTGCGCGGACCCTGGAAGCCTCCACGCAGAGGTCAGACAGGCCCTGGGGGCTTTCAGGCATCCGGAGGGCTGCAGCAGGAGGGATGGTTGTCAGACATCAGGCAGGACTCCCCCAGTGCCGCCGAAGGGCAAGTCTTTTGGTGGCTCTGGAAACTGTCTCTTGCCCTTGTCCCTGGACCTCACATCCTCGGAGAATCCCGGAGCTGCCTGGACCCAACCCTGTGGCCAAGTAGGGATCTTCCTTGTCTAGCAGCGGGGTCTCACGTCCACGCCAAGTCCCCCAGGGTGGCCTGGGGGGAGAGGATGAGGAAGTGAGGCCCCGGCCCAGGCTGGGTCACACTCACCCCTACCAGAGTGGCCGAGCCCCAGACTTAGTCAAGCCTCAGCTTTTAGGTAGGGAAGTTGAGGCACAGGCTGAGTAGATCATGTAGGAAATTGGTCTTGGAGCCGTGACCAGTGGAACCAGAGATCCTCTTTCAGAGTCTAAACTTGGAGGGAGAGCCATGACTCCCACCTGTGGTATTTGCATAGTGGCACATCCCCTGTGTCCTGCCTGTCCCCTGTTCGTGGCTGGCCACCGGTCACTGCCACCCTGCCCTGTGGAGCTCCCCCAGCCCTACACAGCTCCTGCTGTCCAGCCAGACCTGTGGCCCAACTGCACAGAACCGTCTCCCGTTCGTGAGCCCTTCCCGGGGCGCCTACCTTGTCCCTCAAGACCCGGGTTCAAATCCCAACATTGTTCCCTCCTGTTCACTGCTCTGGGGCTCGGTTTCCCCAGATGTGAAAGGGGGTAATAAACCTTCCTTGCAGGCTACCAGGAACTGTTCACAGAACGTGCTCTTTGGAGTTGGCTCCCTGAGCCCCAGCCACCCCCCTGTGTCCAAACTCGTGTCCCACAGGTCCCCTGCTGGGGTCCGACCACTCCAGGCCCAAGGTGGCATTGTCCAGTCTCCCCGGATCTGCGGTGGGCACAGACTCCCCTCCGAGAGGAGGGTGTAGGGAGCCCCTCGGGCCGGCCAGTGAAGGGCAGGAGGCTTTGCCAGGAGGCCAGGCAGCCTAATGTCAGCAGGCTTCCTGGTGCTGAGAGAGCTCGCAGGGGGCCGGGAGCAACAACTTGTTCTTCCCAGCACTGGGTGGGGACAAGCACGACAAGGTGGCAGGGTTCCTCTGCGCTGATGTGTGCCGTGGAGGTGGAGGTCGGTGGGGCTCCCAGGGAGCAGCAGTGGAAGAGGTGCCAGTCACGCCCCCTCCCCCAAGCTCCTTTCCCTCCTGCGACCTTGACTTTGGGGCGAGTGACTGCCGTGATAAAAATAGACCTGGTATCGGGTGAGGAGGGGGAAACCAGGTCCCAGGAGGCCTCCTGACCTCAGGTGGCTCTGATGTGGCCTCAGCAAACACTCACCCACACCCCCTGGCCCCATGCTCTGCTTCGGTGGGGGTGGCCTCGGGCTTATGGAAGGGGTGGGTAAGACCCCATTGTAGAGCGGGGCCATGTGAGTGACAGTGCCTAGCCTTGAGGGCCCTGTGCGGGACAGGCGCATGTAAACACTTGCAGATGCACACACGTGTGTGAATACACACACGTGCATCTCTCTCACACACGCGTGTGCATTCCTGTGGATATGCTCTCATGCTGACAGAAACGATCTGGCCTGGACCTTCCCCCTTCCCCCTCCTGTCACCCTCCACAAGGAGATGAGGCCTCCCGTCTCTCTCCTGTGGATGGTTCTGCCCGTTGGGCCCCCAGGCCTGCCGGGGGTGGGGGCAAAGCCAGTCTGATCAAATCTTGTGGCTTCAGACACCTCTGTCCAGGACCAGGGGTGACAGGTAAGGCCTAGGCTGAGCTGGGGACTCAGGACACCGGGCCAGCCTTCTCACCTCTTCCCCAGATGCGGCCCCCCGCCGCCTCCCCCCACCGCCATCAGGGTCTGAGCACATGCAGACTGAAGGCCCTCGTTCTAACAGGTCAGGAGGGGGAAGGAGGCAGGAAGGTGCCAAGGTCGATGGCAGGAGGTTGTGGGTGCTGGAACGGGGACAAGTCGGGTAGCCAAGAGGCTGAGGCCTGGGTTGTGCCCCTGGAAGTGCCTGGGAGGAGGCCTGGTTCCACCCTCTGAGCCAGGCACTCAGAATCTTTGGGGTCTCCTTTCAGATCGAGTTTACACCGGAGCAGATTGAAGGTGAGTGAGGGTCTTGAGCCCGAGGGCGGCAGGGTGGGGCCCAGGGTCTCAGGCCCAGGTCTGAGAGTCCTGCCAGCGCGGCGTGAGTGGGGTGGGCTGACCCTGGGCGTGTCCCCGGTTCACGCCCTCTCCTGGCAGAGTTCAAGGAAGCCTTCATGCTGTTCGACCGCACACCCAAGTGTGAGATGAAGATCACATACGGGCAGTGCGGGGATGTCCTGCGGGCGCTGGGCCAGAACCCTACGCAGGCCGAGGTGCTCCGCGTCCTGGGGAGACCGAAGCAAGAAGGTTGGTATGCGTGAGTGCCAGGCCCCGGGGAGGCCGTCTGTGGTGGGACAACGTGGGACCCTCCCTGCTCTGCGCTCTCTTGACATCTTCCCATTGTCTGGATGAGGACACTGAGCTGGTCTCAGGCGATGCTGACGAGGCAACAAGCATTGAGTTTGCTGGGCCATCTGGCCCCACGCTGATTTGCCAGATAGGAAACTGACAGTGCAAGTGAGCTGCAGCGGCTGGTGTGAGG